ATGATAGAACAAGATAACCCACTAAAGACTACTGTACGTGGTTTGAATGCTGTACTTTGAATAACTTTAAATAAATCAATTTATAACTATGAATGAATTAATGAATTAATTATTATTTAATATATATTTCAAAATTTCCCTTACTTTCCCAAAAGATTTTCTGAAAAGGCATGTTTTTTTGACATGGAAGAAAATTCATTTACTCACTAGAAGTTTGTCCAAAGTGTCCAAAGTGTGTTAAGCATAGTACTGACGTATAAAATACCAGTTCATCCCAGCATGAAATTTTATGTTCATCAGCTCAAGCACTTAGTAACTGTGTCTGTTATAATCCACCTCTGTAGGTGTGTGCAGGGGGTTATGTGGATTGGTTTTACATTTAGCGGCACCAGTCAGGCCTGGTCAGGTGGAGGTGAAGGTCGGGTTTGATTTTGAAATTGTGAAATTGGGACTTGAATTTTTAGGCAAAACAACATTCTTGGTTTATATTTTTGGAGTTTTGGGAGAATCTTATGTATAACATAACTTATAGAGAATCTAATGTATCATTAGCAATACGTGTTGTGTGGCCTGTTTCTAAAGTCTGCTTTGGCTAAATTCATTGTTGTCCACCTTTGCGCTCTCGTTTAACTTTAACAGGAAACATAGCAATGTATTGTAATAAATATCTGTTTATAACTTTTTTGCCATATGTAACAGTATAACAGTATGTAACAGTATAGTCTGTAGTGTTTTTCTCCTCTCGTTTTTCCTCAGATTTTTATGTGTGTATGAGAGTGTATGTGTGTGAAAGGTTTGTATCCTAACCTGACATAACCTCCGGGAGTGTTAATATATGCAAAAGTGGAGCAGGAGCCGTGTACCACCAACGGCACAATGACATTTACACACACACACACACACACACACTACAAAAAGAGTGACAGAGAGAGCGAGAGAAAGAGGGAGAGAGAGAGAGAGAGAGAGAGAGAGAGAGAGAGAGAGAGAGCATGTGTGCCCTTGTCTGTCTGATGTCCTACCCCACAATAACACGGGCATCTGCATCTGTGTGTTTGAGAGTGAGTGAGAGAGAATAAGAGAGAAAGACTGCTGCTCATATATGCATGATTTTCAGCAGTTTCAAGCCAATGATGAATCAGTCATGCTACAGGACGGGGAGAGCACTGCCAATGACACAACCAAAATTTAGTGGTCAAATAGGGCCACATTGTAGAGATGGTACACCTTACAATGATTCTTCAAGGGTTCTTAATTAAAAACAACTGTAATATAGAGAACCATGAGAACTCAATTTTTCTTTGCCATGAAGGACCTTTTCTAAAATGGTTCTACAGAGCATCACAAAAACATTGAACATTTTTTGGTACTATTTAGAGCCCTTTTTGCTGAGAGTGTATTTACAACATTACCAGTCAAAAGCTGTTATTCAGTAAGAACTTGAACAATATAGAATGAAATATTATAAACTAGACAGCTCAATGTGTTTTAAGATGTTTTATCCACAACACTGTTAGAAACTGGACTGTACAGGTACATCTTTCATTCATCAGGGTACAAACTATGTAAATGGTCCTTCAAAGGTACAACAGTGGTTTTAAGGCCTGATTGTGAACCTTGTGAACCATTATGTTCCCTGACTAAAGGTAAAGAGATGCACCATTGAGGGCACCACCTCAGTGACGAGGGACACTGCACCAGTGACAGTTTCATACCTTTATTTCTGAAAGTATATTTCAACAACAATACTTTATTAAATGGTGAATATATTGTAATTATCTATCTATTCTTATCAAATCTCAAACATGATTGTCAAATATGGAATTCTGAATGTTAATATTATTATAACTTCATTCTCACTGATATACAGCTTTCTCAGTCACTGTGGAATCGTCTACAGCTCTGTTTATCATTCAAGATATCAAAAACGACAATAAATACTTGGCCATATTTTAAAATTCTGGCTGTGCTGGAATACAGAGCCAGAATTCATTGACTGTCCAGCTGAGAGATCCGTAAGTCCAGCATAACAGCATGACAGCATGACTTCTTTACAGTCATTTTTGGGATGGATTTTTGCTGAATCAGTTTGATACGTTTTAGCAGAATCACTTAAAGCTTTAGTCACTCTAGAAGTGCAAAACAGATAACAATTCATCAGCTCTAACCATGCAAAGGGATGTTTTTTGTCTCTGTATTTCTCTCTCTCTCTCTCTCTCTCTCTCTCTCTCTCTCTCACTCTCTAAGGCACACACAGAATACAAGGGCAGTCCTCACATAATTAGATATGTTTCACAGTCAGAGAGCCCAAATTACATCATGCTAAAAATATGCATGAATAAGCACACTTCCAGCCTCACAACTCACAATTCACAACTGCTGTGCATGTAGGAAACATGTGCAGGAACTGAACTGAGCTGAAATTAACAGAAGATAAGACTCACACAGAAAAGGTCATTTACTGACCCTTTAAGAGAGCAGAATAAGCCGACCTTGAAATTCCACAAGAACAAAATGAAGGATTTACATGTAAATATATATTTACAGTTCTGTGCAAAAGTCTTAGGCCTCTGTGAAATGATATGTGACGCTATTTATCTGGTCAGTAAACTCTTTTTTATTTATTTAGGATTTATATTCTAAATTGTATGAAAACACACACACACACAAACACACTTAAACATGTTTTGCAAAAGACTGAGCATGTTGTGATGTAGCGCTAATAACAGAGGGATTTATGGCTGCGTCTCTTTATCTCGCACGCTAATGCCAAAATCACACACCGCCTGCTCCTCATCTCACAGACCAGTGACTTTACACACACACACACACACACACACACACACACACACACACACACATACACATACACACAAACAAACAAACAAACTCTCATTTTCATTTTCTCTCTCACAGCTGTTTTGGAAGTGCAGGGAGCAAACTAAACCCAGAGTGTGATCAGGAACAGACGGAGCCACAGAGGAGCTGATGAAGGGATAAGCTTTTAAAGATTGTGAGAGAAAGAAAGAAGTATAGTTGCTGCATGAGAATCTCTCTCTCTCTTTCTCTCTCTCTCTCTCTCTCTCTCTCTCTCTCTCTCTCTCTGCCAACAGCAGTGTCTGCCCTGAGCTTAAACACCACGCTACAGCACCCTGTAAACATGTGCAGCTCCAAATCCACAGGCCTTTCATTCTCAGCTCAACTCAAACTGAACTTCACACTCTTAGCACTCTGAAAAAGATCAGTCATTGTCGTAGTTCTACTTTATTTATCATGTGGTGTACAAAACCAAGCACACTTTCACTAAAGATAGTGTTTTATCATTTCCTGTGCTGAACGTGTAAGCTGTTGGGTTTTGTTCACTGTAGGCACCAGTGTGTGATGGGCAGGTGCTGAAAGAACAGCTCCAACAGGACACTCAGACTGCAACTTTAAGTTTGTTTCAAATGTTTTCTCAGGCCTTTTAGTTAGTATAACCCTGTGGTTTCCATCTCTGATCCTGCAGTACCCCTTCACTGCATAGTTTGCTGTTTATCCTGATCCTACCACACCTGATACAACTAATCAGCTAATAACTAATAATAGTTAATAACTAGTCATTAACAAGCCCTTCCTGAGCTGAAGTTGGAGTGTTAGAGCTGGGGAAAACATTAAAGTGTAAGGGGCAACAGTGGGAACCTGTGCCATCACCTTTAATATAACATTCTTGTCAGGACAAAAACCTACAGTCCCAAAATGGTAACTTTACAGGAGAAAGAAAAAAAGCTTTGAATGGAAGTTAATGGAGCAAGACTTTTTTTCCAAGTTATTTTGGATTACTTCTTATAGTGCATTCATCCTGAAGCAGAATGTAAAGAGCAGCCGGTGTTTTCAAAATATGTCAGAAAAAAAAATGAAGATACAAATTTTGTCCGGACAGCAATGATAACTTCTTTCCCCCTTAATGCCTAAGAGGTATGTTTCCTTTCCTTTTTTTTTTTTTGTTTCTTTCATCTTCTGCCTATTCTATTAATATTTTTCAATTTTGTTATGTTATTCTATTAGTATTACATTATGCTTATATTTTTTGTCCTTTCTCTTTTGTACCACTCATTTGTTTTATGTGTCTTTTGCTGTGCCATGTTATTATTTTTGTGAGCATCTGATGTTGTATAAAGGGCCTTTATCAGTATATTATTATTGTTGTTTCTGTTGTGTTTCGTTGTTTTCTAAAAAGTGGTTAACGTGAACACGAATGTGCTGGTATAATTAATTAATTAGCTAATTCAGCATAAACAAATAAATGTATAAATAAATAAATAAATAAATAAGCCTCAGATCCGGCTCTGATCTGACTCGGCGCGTCTCGAGTGCCAAATTATCAGCGGAGTTCGCGCCGAGATGATGAGCGCGCTGTTCCTAATGCGCTCCGATCCCCGTCTAATCTCCGGAAACTAGCGGTATTCACACATTCACATCGCGCGCGCTCTCACCACCCCGGGGGCATTAATCCGAGCGGTGCCAGGCGTTTGCCCTGCCCCAGTGACGTCAGCGCCTCCTTTCTCTCTCCACAATCGCCGCACACTGTCGGGCACTGAGCGCTCGCGGCACCCTTTGTCGAAGCCTCCGCGTGCGCTCGGGTGCGCGCGCGCGCGTCACGGCCACGCCACCACGCATCGCTCCGCTGTCAAAGTCCGTGATGTGTAAACGATGGTGGCACGCAGCACAAGCCGCCTCTGGTGAGCAGACTAAGCTTTAAGGTTACGGCACGATTGCGTCCGCGCGCGCGCGCATTTTACAGCCTTCCTCGCGGGTACCTTCTGCTACACTTGGGTTTCCCCGCTTTTTTCTTTCTTTCTCTCACTCTTTCTCTGTCCGTGCCGTCCCGCGCCCTCTGCCCGTCTGTCTGTCCTCTCTCCCCTCCTTCTCCGCGTGCCACCATTGCCTCCAAAAGCCACGCGGGCGTTTTAGCGCGCGCGTCTCGGGTGCTGCAGAGGAAGCGCGTTGTGGGCGCCGCGGTGGGCCTCGCCATGGCGCTCGCCCTGGTCGTCGCGATCCCGCTGCTGGTCCAGGCCGCCAAGATCTCAGCGCACTACGAGATGATGGGCACGTGCCGCATGATCTGCGACCCGTACAGCCCCAAACCGAGCGCCACGGCACTGGAGGTGATGCAGGATCTGGGCGCCATCCCACCACCGCCTCCACCCTTCTCTCGCGGCACCAAAGGGGAGCCCGGGAGACCGGGTAAACCGGGGCCCAGGGGTCCACCTGGAGAACCGGGACCACCCGGGCCGCGCGGGCCGCCAGGTGACCGCGGAGACTCGGGGAAACCCGGCTTCACCGGGATCACGCCGGGGACGACCAGGAGTGAGTCTGGAGAGGTGGGCTCCGCGCTGGGTAGCATCAAAATCGCCTTCTATGTGGGGCTGAAGAACCCACACGAGGGCTACGAGGTGCTCCGGTTTGATGACGTGGTGACGAACCTGGGAAACCACTACGACCCAACCACGGGCAAGTTCACGTGCCAAGTGTCCGGGATTTACTTCTTCACGTACCATGTGCTGATGCGCGGAGGAGACGGCACGAGCATGTGGGCAGATCTCTGTAAAAACGGACAGGTAGGAGATCAGTAAACGCACACAAAGCAGAAAAATCTGCCCGTAAAATTAAGCCTAAGACTAAAATGATGAATTAAACATTGCAGAATTTTCTAATCTTATGTAAAGTGCTGATAAAACACTACAGGTGTTAAATCAATGTTTAATTCATTTTGTAAGTATTGTATTAATTCAATTCAGGTAATTCAGTTTTTTCATGAGTGCATTAAACTCTGGAGATTTTGGTGAATATATTTTTTAAATGTTCCACCTACATAAAGCTTGCAGGGGGTTGTGGTGAGCAATGTGCTTGTGTTGTGCAACAGGAGGGAACTACACAGGCAGAGTGAGTTAGAAGGAGAAAGGACATGATTGTGTGACCTGATTCAATCTGAACTGCTCAGGAAAGACGAGATATAATGAGTAAACAAACTACAACTCCACTACAAGGCGAGGGAACGATACTCTAGCTAGTCATTTACTAGTGACTAGTACAGGCTTCTTACTGGAAACATCTTCAGAACGAAAGCATTCCTTAGATTAAGAATAATTCAGCCAGTTTACATTGTTTTCCATGTAATTACTGAAAAATGATCAGTAATCAGGTTAAAATGAAAAATAGGAATGGTTTATGTTTTATTTTGTACAGTGCTGTTTATGGAGCCTGTTTTTTATTTAGGGAGTCATCACCTCAACATTAAGACTGTACATTATCTCTCCTTTCTGGACAGGTGCTGCTATTTGTTGTTGATCTTAGTTCAACATATTACATTTAAATAAAATGAAGGTATGATCTGTTATTGTCCCCCAACACTATCCAGACTGATTTAACCCTACATCTCTGATGCTCTGTGTTTTGTCTGGCACTTTTTTTTCTGGAACAGGTGCGCGCCAGTGCCATTGCACAGGACGCAGACCAAAACTACGACTATGCGAGCAACAGTGTGGTGCTACATCTGGACTCAGGTGATGAAATCTATGTAAAGCTGGACGGTGGGAAGGCACACGGTGGAAACAACAATAAATACAGCACCTTCTCTGGGTTCATACTGTATCCAGACTGAGTGCTCTGGGCTCTGAACTGACTCTCCAACAGCCGCTCTTCCCGCGTTTGTGTGGAACGAGGGCAGTCCACCACGAGAAAGGCCATGCAGTGTAACCAGTGAGAAACAATGTTGTCTGAATGTGTCCTTTTTCTGTTTGACAATGTGTTGTGTGTGTGTGTGTGTGTGTGTGATAAGTGAAACATATCTAAAGCTATATATGAAAAAGAGTTATTTATAAAGGTTATAAGCAAGGTGTCTGAGTAAATAGTCAAGGTTAAGAGAAAGATGTTTGAGTTATTAGTGTAGGCCTATCTGTTATACTCCGGGATTTTGATGGTTGGCTAGATCATATGATGTCTTGTCCTGTAGCATAACATTACTCTGCACTGTCAGTATTTATTTATGTATTTCAATAAATTATGTTTTGTATAACTCGTTTCTTTGTGTGTATTGACATATATGACATCCTTAGATGTATATCAGAGTCATGAGACATAGCAAGTCAAGATTTGTTAATATGCAGGGCTTTTAAAACACTGTACTCTGTATCACACTGTTCAGCATATTTCACATTTGATTTAAGAAAACCTTTAAACATCATAGGCTATAATGTATGCTTTGTGTATTTGGTATACATGGCTAACGTATGTAATGTACTTTACCAAGCTTGATAAAACAGAATAAATGTCCAGCTAGTACATGAGATCAGATGACAAGAGAGACAATCACCTGTTTGGTCACATTCATGTGCATTTTAATTGTGCAACATGAAGTGTTAGAAAATAACTCAGTGGTTTAAAGTGAGTTTTTTGAGTAACTCCTCAGACCCATGTATGAGTGTGTTAAAGAGGAAGAGAAAGAGAGAACTGCTCTTCCTGTGAACTGCTGGCTGATGGCCGGCTCAGCGGTGACTGAGGAACAGGGTCAGGTGGACTTCCACCACTGCCCAGTGTTGGCTCAGCACCAACCAGACGACCAAGCATCCATCATTTTCCTCCTGTACCAGAGAGACTGACCTTTGACCTTTCATTGGCTCTGCTGGGCCATCAATTACAAATCACAGAGACCGTCCTGGAAAGAAAGTCTCAATCTCAGTCTAGCCAGTCAGCTAATACCCCAATGAAATTACAAGTCCAATTCCCAAAAAGTCAATACAGACAATATGTTTAATACAAATAAAAATAGAATGTAAGGATTTTAAAATCCTGTATGGCCCGCATTGCATTGAAAACCATACAAAAACACAATATGTTCTGTATCACCTTATGAATTGTTTTTTTTTGTAATTGTATGCTTATACCAAGTTTGATGCCTGCAACACATTCCAAAAAAAGTTGAAACAGGTGCATTTTTACCAGTTTTACATCACCTTTTCCTTTGAAAGCACTCAATACTCATTTAGGTGTTGAGATCTACTAATCCAGTTTTGAAAGTTTTGAATATTTTGACATTCTTTTGTTAAACAGGTCTTACAGGGCCTTGGTTTTTGTCTTTTGAGCTTAATATAATGCACATTTTCATTTGGAGACAATTCTAGACTGCAAAATTGCCAGTTTAGCACCCAAGCTCTCTGATCATGCAGCATGGTGTTTTAACATGTGCAGAATGTAGCTTAGATTTGTTATGATAAAAAAAATAAGCGGTGGTGTCCCTGAAAAAGACAGCACCTTAAAGGCAGCATATGTTGCTCCAAAATGTACACTTTCACAGATGTGCACAGATGCTTCATGGGTGTGTAAGTAACCCCCCATACCATTACAGACCCTGACTTTTAAACTTTACGCTGCTAACAATCTAGATGGTCCTTTTCTTCTTTGGCCTGGAGAACACCACATGCTTTATTTAAGCACAACTTGGGTACAATTTGTGAGCTATCCAAAACTGCTCACACAAAGAGTAGTTTTCCATTATACATACCGATATACACTGCTGTACATCTTAGTTTAATTTTTAGTCATAACAGTTACTAAAGTACAAGCTACTCATTTTCCAGCATGAGTATTAAAAAAGAAAAGCAGAAAACATTTTTTAGGAGATTTGCCTTCAGTCTGTAAAGAAATCTGCAGGGATATTTTTACCCACCTGCGATGTTCAATCTTAAATGTTTCCTGTTTCTCACAATCCAAGTAATCCCAACAGCATTCAATGATGTTGAGGTCTGGAGTTTTCTTGTTTGTCTTCTTTTTTTGTCTATTTCCTGCTATCTGTAATGGCTTCTTGAAAGCTACACATCCTTTCAGACTCACAGTGTTGAGCTGTCTTCTCACAGTGGACAGATGGATAGAAATATCTCAAAGATAAAAGCTTTAAGTACTGTTTATCTAATAGTTTTTGGTGGTCTACCTTACCTGTTTTTTTATTTTTCATTTATTATTCTTTATTTACAATCTGTTTTTATCCACCAAAATGAATAACTTGTACTTACTGGCTGTTTTGACTAGAAATCAAATAAAAGATGGGCAGTCTTTGACTTTTGTACATAGTAATGTAGTGTTTCAATATTTCTAAGATAAGAAAATCCTTTGAAAGGTCTTAAAGAATAAACTGGACATTGTTCTCTTCAATGTTCTGTACTAATAAGACTTACTGACAGTCTCATTATTAGAAAGAATCAATACTTATTTACTCATCTTTTCCTTCTGTACTTTTTTATCATTTCACAGGGGCCTTTTTATCAGACAGACAGTGCCTAAGCACCATGCTTGACTTGGGCAGAAACTCATGGCTTTATCTATTATTGCCTCTGTATCTCCAAATCCCTTAGATTTACAGGCTTTAACACAAGAAGAACATCTTATGACTGATCACACAAGCCATGAATTCAGATGAATCTGCACTTACACCTGCTTTCATTCCTGTTTTGTTAAAGGATCATTCTGGCTGCTGTTGAACTACACTGATCTATGGACTGTATTAGTCATGTTTGGCTGTTAGACTGTGTGAATACCAGATGCTGGAAGGGCTGCACCGGTGTTTCTTAATCTATTAATGTGTGAGAATGTGGGGTGGTTGTAAAAGACTAGGCGGTTAGAGAGATCTGGTTTGTGATAGCGTGAGTAGGCACAGCTGGTGGTCACAAGGGGAAACAAAATAAGCCAGAGGCACGTGCGCGCACTCCAGACTCCAAATCGGCAAGGTTCCCTCCACAGTCCTGGACATTCAGCCAGGGTGTGCAGTCCTACTGAGTTCTTTTCACATGTGCACCCAGACATCCTTCAGCCTCAGGATGACACACATTTATCAGTACCCATGAGCATCTGTTGTCAGAGCTGCCAGTGATTACAGTGACTCCATTACATCAGGCCAAGCCCCTGAGTGTCACTGCCACTTTATTTCATCATTAACTCACTGCTGGATACAGGGCTAATAGAGGCTGCACTTTAAATCAACCAAAAGAAACTGCTCAATACTGTTTATCAACATGAATTATCACTCACGCTCAGCTGTCTGTTCAAAACATCAGTCGCTTACAGGATTCAGTTCACTACCTGCAGGGGGTTTGGGCAGTAAAGGTGTTTATCGTGGTTATGGTGTTTAACGCTGTAATTGTGTTTAACTTTCTTTGCTGTATATGTCTTGAGGGCAGCAGTGATGTTTACTTGTTTTCCCCTTTTTTGGCTTCATGACTAGTAGTTAATGCCAGCATACTAATCAAATACAGAACTCATTAAATCATCTTATCTGTGATTCAGGGTGACTCAAACACAGGCCCATGCCACACTCTACCCCCTCCTCAACTGCACACATCCACCCCCACACATAAGTATGGTCCTTATGGACTAAATAGACTCATTGGCACACAGCACGCCCCAACTGAGGGCTAAAGGCCACTCCTATGGCTCTTGTACAGCAGCAGAGATGATCCACTAGCAGCTCTGAGCAGTGTAGATGAACTCTTCATGATTAGATTGCACTTCTGTTATTCTAGTCTGGGCCGCAGCTGCCCTCACCTATCCTAAAGCAGATCACAGATGAACTTTCACTGACTTCATCCCTTAAATGGCCAGGGCCCACGGCAGTCCCAAAGTTTTATTACTCTCAACTATTTACATTGTTTACATTGCTGCCCCTGTAGTTAACGATAATAAGCCTTAATATATAATAAGCCTTGAATTTTAAGGGGTTAATCAAACTTGATCACTAATTTAATCAAACTGGTCCCTCCTTTATCCTGTTATTCATTGCTCTCTTCCTTTTTTTCCTCACCATAGGGACACTTTGGAAGTCTCAGGTGTTTTCCAGTGTGGGAGCGCACAGGTTTTTTAAAAGTGTGTGTCCGTCCCTCCTTCTCTTGTGTGTGTCTGGAACTCATGCTGCTCACGCCTCATCAGCCAGTCACAGGGTGAAGGTCATTTGCTCTCTATGATGCATTTTAAAAACAGCCCTTTCACTCTCTTTCGTCTGCTTTTTTTTCCTAATCTCTATCACTCTTTGACTCTCTCTCTTGGATACATGTATCATCTCTTTCACTGCTCTCATTTCTACTTTCTCTTGCTTACTTTGTACTGCTTTACACTGCTTAGATAGATAGACAGACGAGGTTTGGAGGTCTAAACCGTCATCCTTCTGTCCTCCATCCATTCACCCATTCAAACTCTCAATCACCGATCCATCTGGTTATCCATCTAAACTCTTATCCACCCATTCCTCCATTCACCCATCCAATTCCCAATCCATTCATTCACCCATACAAACACTCATCCACTCATTCATCCATTCACTCATTTATCCATTCATCCATTCACCCATTCAAACCCTCACCCACCCATTCCTCCATTAAAGCCCTAATGCACTCAGCCATCCATTAATCCATCTAAATACTCATCCATCCAAACCATTATTCCATTAATTCACCCATACGCTCAAACATACACTCATCCGTCCAAACCCTCATCCACTCATGCATTCACTCATCTAAACACTCATCCACCCATCCTTCCATGCACCCATCCAGCACCTTGTCTACTCATTCATACATTCAATCATTCAAACACTCCTCTATCATCCATCCATTCACTTATCCAAACACTCATCCTCCCATTCATCCATTCAAGCCCTCATTCACCTATCCAATCACTCATCCATCCCCCCATTTTTCATCCGGCCCTTCATCCATTTTTCCATCCAAACACACTTCACCCATCCATCTGAAATCTCCTCCATCCATCCGAAATCTCCTCCACCCACCTATTCATTTTCCCCCATTTAAACCCTTATCCACCCATGCATCCATTTACCTTTCCAAACTTTCATCCACACATCCAAGCACTCTTCCATCCATCTCTCTTTTTTGTACTGCTGCAGTACAACATCAACATTCTACTCTTACACGCTGCCGAACTAATTAATGCCATTTTAACTGATGACATTATATTAGTGAGTCACATAAACGCTCTTCCTTCACCTGCACTTTTGGCCAGTGGATAGCTGCC